GAAATCAATGAGAATTTATCTCATTTAAGAGCAACCACTAATTTTCTTCATATTAGGCACATATGTTTCATCAATTTACACATTAGTTGGTCTAGTTTCAAGTAGGCTTTCATACCCACAAATGTTAAACATTTGTGAAAGTAAACAAGTAGGAATATTCTACAGACATAGCAAATAAGATTCCATTTGCACCCCCACGATCACTAATTGTCGTGTGTATTATCTTGAGGTTTCTCGGAGCCCCATCTGGGTTTACTAGAAATAGTGCTGCAATTGATTGGTTATGTCTGTCATGGGCATGGGCATGTGAGATCATAGCACATGCCTATACTTACATAACCAACAAATGGATGATCTTGGTGAAAAGAATTTCTAAATCAAATTAATTCTCATACCCACATGACTCAGAATGTACCGTTCACCAGGGAAAAATACTAATTTGAGGACTGTGACAGATTGCATTTTCCAAAGCTGGTTACAGGAGCTCCCATCGCACAGGCTCTTCTGCAATGACCTTGCCACTCCCCACCCCTCAGAGGCAGAGTGCAATACCCTCCCCTTGAACCTGGGCTGGTCAGAGTGGGTTGGCCATAACCAATGGGATAGAGCGAAAGCAATGCCATGCGACTTCTGAAGCTAGACAGGAAAGAAAAGGACACCTTCTGTCTGCCTCTCTGGGCCGATTTGTTCTTAGGCGCTAACGCCGTGCTGTGACAAACAAGCTACATGGAGAGGTCATGTGCGCCCCGGACAGCCCAGCCTTCGAGTCGGGGAACCTCCAGATGATTCCGGCCCCTGGCGCCTGCCATTCCCGCTGTTCCAGCCCTCTCAGGTGAGGGTTCAGACCCCGTGGAGCAGACACCAGCTACCTCCACTGTGCCCCAGCGGATTTCCCAACCTGAGAATCTGTGAGTGTAATAAGATCGTGCAGAAGTGCGGCACCACCCGATTTGGGGGTGCTTTCTTAGCCAGCAATGCTCAACCAGAAAAAGAATCCCGAACGCCAAGGGCAGGTGGAGTGGTGGATCTGCTTTCTCCATCATGATTGTGAGACCCTTCATAGGCTACATAAACCCTCAAAGTTCCCCTGCCTTGAGCTGGGACAACAGTAGCTCTCCCATCACAGCACAAAAACGCAGTCAGAAACCAATGGAGACAAAGCTTTCACCGAACAACAGCCATGGAAAGCAGACAGACTGCTACTGTTAACCAGCCGGTCACCTGGAGAGCAGTCCTCCGAATCACAGAAGACGTGCTTTCTGGAAAACAGTCATTAGCCCACACCCACAAATCCTAGGTAGAGCTTTTGCATTTGGGGAAAACCAAACCGTAGCCTCAGAAGTTCCCACAAGACAAGCAGACAGACGTGACACATGCTGTTGTTGGCAATGACCTCACCTCTGTGTAATGGTAAGCCAAGCTGTGGGGCAGCTTCTTGCTCTAATAGGGACCCAGAAGAGCTCTGAGCCTCCCAGAAGTATATGCTGTGTGCCCCGCCCATGTGAGGCCCAGGAGCGGTGTCCCCACCTGGCCTGACCATGGCTTCCCTGCTGTGAATCTGCTCAGTGGGGGTGGGGTGGGGACTTGAGGGCTTAGAGGTTTTGTTGACACTATTCTCTGGAAAAAAAAAACACCTTTCTGTATTCGAGCTAATTTGGTGAACCTTCCTCCAGGAACATGTCCAGTTAACTTTTGTAGCAATGGGAGATAAAATACTTTTTAACATTTAAGTCAAGTTTTATTCTAAGGGACCTCCCATCTGCTGCTGGTGTCCACCCTGACTCTCCTGACTGCTTTCTCGGCTTCGACCTCTGAAGCTTCGAGAGGTCCCGGTTAGGCTCACCAGCTGGGACGGCTGGGCAGCTGACGTATCTCCTGTAACATGAAAATAACTGTACCTGAGTTGATTGGGGAGTTCATAGCATTAGAAAACACTCTGCCATGCAATGGGATTTCATTGTCTTTTCCCTAAAATTGTTTATTGAATTTTTATTATGTGCTGGGCACAAGGCCTAGATCCCAGATGAAGGTTGATGAAAAAGGCAATTCCTGCCGCAGGGGAAATGGAAAACAAAAAGGCTACTAACACAGAGTGTGGCATGTGCCATAAATAGGTTGCTATAGGAAGACCTGAAACAGCTCCCGAGCCAGACGTTGGAGGCTCAGAAAAGGCTTCTTGGAGAAGATGCTGAAGAAGTTGAGACCTGAGGAATGAGTAGGAGGTGGGGGATATGGTGGAGGGTGGGGGGAGGGGGAGGGGGATGCAGGCAGAAGAGCAGGTACGAAGGCCTGGGGACAAGAGAGCACAGGGTTTCCAGAGAACTGCAGATGGGTCCATGTGGCTGAAGCATCCACCAAGGGCAGAAAGAGAGGGAGAGGAGTTGCTGGGGTAGGTGGCAGGCAGGTTGCCTGCCCTCGTCGGCAGGCTGCATGGCAAAGGCACCTGGACTCAGCATTTGAAAGGGCACTTAGCAGATGATGTGGGAGAAGGGTCAGGGGGGTGAGAGTGAAGGCAGAGGCCATGAGGGCTCTGCTGCAACTCGGGCGAGTTGCGGTGCCTCCGTGCGTGCAGGCTGCTATTACTCCTGTCCAACCTCTTCTGCTGGGGTTTCAGAACGTGGAAACACCAGGAGAGTGTCTCTTACACATAGAAACATGTTTTCTGGAGGATTCTGCAATAGTAAGGCCATTTTCTGTCTAATGGGTCAACAGGAAATGCAGCAGAGAGCTTGGATGAACCGGGGTGGAGGGGCCCGAGGGACACGGGCCCCAGAGCCTTTGCTTCCGTTCTCTGAGGCAGGGCCCGTCCCCCGGAAGCCTGGCCAGTTCCTGGGCCTGGGGAGCATCCCGGCGCAGGACTCTGCTGCTCCTCAATGAGAGCTGAATGGCGAAGAGAAAAGTGCAATTTCAGAGTTGGGCCCCAGACAATTCCAACCCAGTTTTCTCACCACACCCCAGGCAAACAGGCCTGACTCACAGACCACATGGGTGCTGAGAGGCCGGAGCTGGCTGCGCGCTGCTGGTGGTCCTGGGGCGTGTGTGTTGGGGTGTCTATCTGGAAGCCTCCGAGGGAGGGAAGGTGGCCCTTACTCATGCCCACCCCCACTGCTCCAAGGCCCACGCCACCTCCCTCTTCCTCCCCTAGGCTTTTAGCTCCAAAACCTGCAGCCAAGCGGGGTCAGGGAAAGCAGCTGAGTTATGATCAGGGACGAGGAGGAAATCTGAAGCCATTCCAGGGGCCACAGACCTGGGAGTGTCTGCAGCTGATTCAACAGCTGGGAGGCAGGGAGGGTCATGGAGAGTGAGTGAGAGTCAGGTCAGAACTCCATGCCCACCGCAGGGTAGCTGGGAACCTGGAGCAAATTACTTACTTCCATTGAGCTACAGTTGCCCCAACTCCAAAATGAGAATGATAACGCCTCATAGCGGGTTACTGGAAAGCGTCTAGCCCAACACCCAAGACAGAACAGGTGTCTGGAAAATTTGGATTTTAACTGCAGGTATTGCCCACACAACTCATAAGGCACTTATCCTACACAGGCTCCCATCTGCGCTGGACCTCATTCACCCGGCTAGCCTGACAGGAGCCGAGAGTAACTGTGTTACGTGCTCTCTCCTTCCCACGGCATCTCATGCTTCACGTCGGTCAGCACGTTTCCCGGCTGACTGATACACCCAGATAGCAAGATCTTGGGGAAGGTAGAGGCAATAATGCTAAAACTATCAGAGTCTCTGGCATCCAAGGCATATAGTATTTCCCTTTAATAAGTAAAATACAGGGGTATGTGCACACCTTTCTTCCACCTGTGAGAAGCAGCCAGTCAGCAGGAGGGGCAATGCAGAGTCGGTGCACCGCGCAGGGCCGAGCTCACTGCCTGGGGCATGCGCCACTCTCCAGTGGTGCGACCTTGGGCCAGAAACTGGACTTCATCTGTCAAATGGGAATAGTCAAAGTACATACCTCATAGAGTTATTGGGGGCATTTAAAGAGTATAAGGAAAGCACTTAGGACAATACTTGGTTTTTAAAATTCAGTGAGGACCGACCTTCATCCTGTCATTGCCAAAGCTCAGTTGTGTTTGCTGGGCTGGACTCCCCTTGTTAAATGGCAACATTGGAAACCTCACCTCAGATAAAGACCCTGTCACCCGGAATAGGGATTCCACTCTGGGTGGCAGAGGGGTACAGAGCTGAATTGTCTCTCTGGACTAGCCCACATGGAAACTATAAAATGCACTGCAAATGTTAGTGTTATAGCTTTTGTTTTTCCAATGCTTAAAAATCTAGAAACAATATTATAATAAGCATAGTCTTTGTTCCCACTTACTTGACTACCCACTGTATTAGATACTGTGCCCACTGCTTGTCACAGGTCCGCTCACTTACGGGTCTCGATGACCCTTCAGAGTTGGAGCTATTTTCATCCCCATTCTAAAGAGGAGGAGAATGACATTCAAAGGTGACTCAAGGTCTCAAGTGGAATTCAAACTCAGGTCTGCTGGCTCCCAAGCCTATGCTTTTAACCATGATAATACTCTCGTGGATTGAATGTTCTAAGACGAGTAAGATGCCGGTGGGCTCAAGACATCCAGCCAAATGCCAGTCGTCTTGCTCTCAGATTCTGAGAGTTCTGCCTCGATCCCCTCAGTGGGCATCATGACATCCCAACACCACAAGGCACATGGCAGTGCTTTGCTATTTAAGGCCTCCTGGAAATCATCTTCCTTTCCCTGATTCCAAGTTAACCACGCCAGGCTTAAGTTACTCACCTTGGAAGGATCCAGGGCTGCGTGGATCCTGCTAAGGTCTGAAAGTACAGTCTTGAGTGTGAGGATTTTAAACCTAGCATAGAGAACTAGGTTTTGTTTTTGGTTTTTTGTTGTTGTTTTCTAGCTAGGACATCCAAACAAAATACAATACCTTCCTCCCTCTCAAAAACAAATCTGTTTTCTTTCTGAAATCAAACTTTTTATAGTTTTTTAAAAAAAGACATCAAGAAATAGCAGCTCATTTTGCTTTAATATCCCGAAATATTTGTGTGAATGGGACTGTGTTGCACGACAAAGCAGAAATCTGTGGACAAGTACGTCTCACTCCGAGGAAAGCACTGATTGGAGAGAAGGCACCAGAAACTGCATTTTGCTGGATTTCATGTAAACAATAAGGGGGGGGGCAAGGTTCACCAAGAAGAAACAAAGTTGCACTGTCATTTCACGGGCACATCCCAAGGTGAACAGTGGCCTCCTCAGCTGAGCTCAGCCTCACCTTACATGGCAATGTAAACAGAGCGCGGTGCCAAGGAGACAAAGGCCCGCCGGCAGCAGTGGGAAAGGGCAGGAGAAGGACTCACACGAGCATAACCCCTGGGTCCTTCCCCATTTCCCACACGGCTCCCACGTGCATCTCGATTGGCAGTTTTGCGAACGTACTCTTCATCAAAAACTGGTTAGTGGAAAAACCAAGTCCTACAAAGGCTGGGTGAATACACGTTATTTCTCTCCCTGCTCTTTAATCAGATGACTTGGAGGGGCCTGGGATGGAGAGACGTACTGCCCTGGGCCTGTCTTCTTAGGTGATGACGGTAGGTGCGGTGCGGCCCGTCCGTTCCTGGAGCTGGGAGACCTTCAGAGCAATGGAAACGAGGGGGCCCAACATGACCTGAGGGAGACACAAAGAGAAGAACCTTTTCCACCACTTTTCTACACACAGATCCACAGCTTCAGCTCTAACTCTGCCTTTGAGCTTCTGGCCCACCTGCCTGCCTACTCCTATGCCCAAAGGCTCCTCGACCTCCACCAGACCACAGCACAGACGAGTTCTTTCCGCCACCAGCATTCCCTACTGCAGTGAACCGACACCACGATCTCTCCGTAAAGCAAAGGAACAACTAAGCCATTCTTGGCCTTTCCTCTCCCACATACCCCTTTCCAATCTATCAAAGCATAAGGTTTTTAATCGTCTAAATATCTCTCCACGGCACCCATTTCCTCCCATTCCAGTACCGGAGCTCTTGCTAAACTAATGTTCTCTCTTACCTGGAACAATGGTGCATCCTCCAATCTGCTTCCCACACTGCACCCAAAGAGGCATTTCCAAAATGCAACAACACCCCCCTCTCATCCTCCCCTCCCTTAAAAAAAATCATCCTGTTGCTTAAATAAGTATTTTGATATTAAAAAAATGAAAACTACTGATTGAGTTGAATAGCCCATTTTACAGATGAGGAAACTGATATCCAAAGAGGTGATCTGACCAAGTGACTCAAGGGCAAAGCCAAGAGTAGTACATTTTCTACTGCCCACTGTTGCTTTTCCTCATTACATCCAGGTGGAAACGAGAGCAGTGACTCCACGTGCTGACCACACCGCCTGCCTTTTCCCCTTGGGGCCTCAGCAGGTGCTGACGCTGTGGCCCGGCAGCTCCCGAGTGAGGGAAGGCAGCTCCCCAGCTGGAATGGTGGTACACTTGGGCACTGTGGGCACCCTGCCCCCGCCAGTGCCCGCCCCTCTCCTCAGGACTGTGGTCCAGAAGAAACTTAGCTTTCATTTGTTCTTTGCATCTACCATGTTCCAGGCATTAAGACAATGAAACCCAACCCCTTCCTCTTTTTCTCTCTCCATTATTCTGTGGGTCTCCAGTGCAGACAGCCGCGCCCATCCTTGAAGCTTAGGGATGCCCTCAACACAGCGCGGACCGGTAACGACTGAAGCTGGAGCCTGGCCACTGGGAGAACTGTGAACTGAAGTATCTTCTCACCTCCTTCTTTTTGTAATAAAAACAACTAAGCCCTGGCTGGTTTGGCTCAGTGGTTAGGGCATTGGCCCATGGACCAAAGAGTCATGGGTTTGATTCTGGTCAAGGGCACATGCTTCGGTTGCAGTTCGATCCCAGGTCCTGTTTGGGGTCATGTGGGAGGCAGCCAGTCGATGTGTCCCTCTCACATCAATGTTTCTCTCTCCCTCTCTCTCCCTCCCTCCCTCCCTCCCTCCCACTCTATCTGAAAATCAGTGGAAAAATATCTTTGGGCGAGGAGTGAAATAACAACAACAACAACTACAAGAGCCTCTCAAAAGCTTGTCCTTTTGCCAGGCTCAGTGTTAAGAATTTTTCATCCATTGTCTCCTTAAATCCCTGTAACAACTCTATGAAGTAGGTAATTTTCTTGCATTTCACAGACAAGGGAACCAAGGCTCAGAACATTGAAACAGCTGACCCAGGGACAGCTAAGTGGCAGGAGCCAAATTCAAAGCATGATCTCTCTAACTCCAAAATGTATGCTAAAAACCACTGTGCCAGGGCTCCCAAGGGGGTCCCCCAGGATTTCAATTAGGTGTTAGGAAAAAGGCTTTGTGGAAAAATGAGCAGACAGAACGCTATTTGAACAGGTGTCTTCTCAGAGCCTTCCCGCGCGGTGCGTGTTGCGACGGCCAAGAAGAGGCTGAGGACGGCATTCCGCAGCGTGCTCGGCTCTGACACTCTGGGTGGGGCACCGGCGAGACAAGGAGCGCAGCCTTGGCTCCTCCTCTGGGTGTCTGTCCTCCAAGTTCTCTGTCCCGTCCCTGGCTCCCAGAACCCCTCACTCTGACATACTCCTGGAGACTCTGGCTGGATGGGACTGGGAACCCAAACAACCAGGCTACAAGTCCACAGACTTTTTCATAAAGACATGTCTTGCTGGGCCATGAAACTCTCCCTCACTACCAAATCTAGAGCCAGCGTGTGTTCTGCAGGGCAGGAAATCAGACCAAACAAAATAGCAAATGACTAGTGACAGACCAGGACACCGGCTAACGGGCTGATTTAAAGATTAGCTGTCCCAGATCTGCCACTTTCCGGGCGTGTGAGCCCATTAACTGCTGCGTAACCTTTCTATGCCTCGTTTTCCTTATCTACAGAGGAACGATAATAGTCCGCCTCATTCGAGAGTGAAATGAGTATGTCCATGGACTGGGTTTACGACAGAGCCTGGCAACCAGAAAATGCTCAGATAACTGTCAGCTATTTTTGTTGCGATGACGTACTTCCTGAAGGAGACATACAGGACAGCGAGCACACCTGTTTGATCACTTGAGAAATGGGCCGTAATGACACAGGTCTGACGGAACCACTATCTTTCCTTCCAACAGGAAGAACTAGTCGGGGTCCAGGGCATGGGCATTACCTGGGGGTCCTGGTGAATCTTGGTGATGTCCTTCTCATAGCTGTCGATGTACAGGCGGATGGTGGCCCCCGCACTCCCGGTGCCACTCAGTCGAAAAATGATCCGGGAACCATCCGCAAAAATGAGCCGCAAGCCCTGGAAAAGAAGCAGAGATGATTTTTCCCTCCATAGGCTGGAAGGGAGATCAGAGGCTAGCAAATGACAAGGGGAACATTTGGAGACCTAATTTCATCTATACTTGATCGATCAGGGGATTAGATCCTTGATAAATGGCAGCAGCTGAGCCCTGTGAGTGTGTCCATGGTCAACCTGTCACCGCATCCAAGTGATCGGGGCTGAGCTCAAGGGGGAGAAGCATTTTTAGGGTCACGTGGAAGACCTGATCCCAAGGAGTCTGGGTGACATCAGACCTGCCCTCGCCTCCCTGCTCCACTATGATTTATGGACAACCATTCAGTTTGAAGCTTAATAAAGTAAATAAATAAATAAATAAGCTGCTAGATGCAGAAATTCAATCCCCAGACCAGGAGGGAAGCATGAACAGAATGGACTGAACCCAGAGCAGAAGAGGTTTCAGGCAGACAGAAGGAAGAACTCTTTGCAAAACCCTGATGGAGAGCCTCCAAAGAGAAGGGCAGGCCACGTGCTCAAACGGCAGACTGGCTATTCCCACCCATCGGGCAGGATCCCGGGGCCAATCTCCCACCGATGCCTGAGGGCCAGAAGCAGGTCCACGTGGGTGCAATGCGACGCCCCCCTCCCCCAGTGCCCTCTCCTCCTCCTCCCTGGCGGCACCTCTCCTCCTCAGTAATCTTCTTCCTTCAGAGGAAAAAGTGGGGGGACTCCTGGGTAGATAAGCACAGCCTGAGGTAAGAAGGTTGGGCAAGACAGTTCTCTGAGGACGCTTCAGTCTTTATGAACCTTCCACAAAGAGAAGAGGTTTGCACGAGGCCAAGGCTGACCAGAAGGAAACACATCACTCCACACCTGCCAGTCGTGGCCACACTGACCCAGGGTTTGTCATTCAGCAGCAGGGACAGCAGATGCAATACCCAGAGGACAGTGCCGCGTTAGTCATCATGGCAGGACAGTTCTTTGCATTCGCCATGTCTTGCTTTCTAGAAACACACCAGGATTGGTCTCCTTCTCCCACAGCTTCATGTTGACGTTTCTAAATTCTTTGCACTTGACTGCAGACGCTACATCGACTTCAGAAGATTTTCCCTCCTACCTGGTCTCCCATCGAGACACTCAGACTTTCCCGTTACAGAATGTGGAGCTGCTGCCTTCTTCCTGGCAGGGCAGAGGGCGGAGGGCGGAGGGTGGAGGGCGGAGGGCGGAGGGCGGAGGCGGAGGGCGGAGCAGGTGCTCACGGCGACACCCCTCCCGCTCACCTCTGCTCCCTCCTCCCTCCTCGCAGCTGCGGGGTGCAGTGCTGGGTCCGGGTTACTTCTCCCTCTGCAGGCTTGACTGCAAACACATCTGCTCTGTTCTGCTCTGCCATCCCCTGGGCCTCGCCCTCCCCTTTTCTTCACCGCCACCTCCACCCTAGACCTCTCTTTGTCTAATTACCTCAGACATAATGTACAGTGGCCTCTACTGGACCCACAGTCCTCGCAGATGGTGGAAAGGCACATGGAAGAGAGGCCGCAGTGTTAGAGTTTTGAGCAAGGGAGATGCCGGCACTGAGGGTCCATGTGACATGCTCCATCGACTACCTGCTCTTCAGAGGGAGATCTGAAATAAACCCTGCACCCCTTTTCCTCCAAAGCCTGTCAGATGCCTTGAGAAGGACCAGTCCAAAAATCGGGGTCCGTCAGGAAAAAGTAAATTGGAAAGCTGTAACCGAATCTGCACCTTCCTCTTTCTTATCTGCTTGCAAAGTATTAGCTATGAGCCCATTCTGTGATGGCGACAACAGAACCAGAAGAGAGAGGACTATGGACCCGGAGCATTTGCAAGGAGCCTGGGGAAGGGTGGACTCAGCCTGCAGCCTTGGTCCCTGGAACCCAACTCGGAGAACCCTCACAGTGCTGCCTCCATCCAGAGAGCCCGGGTCTCCCCATGACATTGGGGCCGCTGTCAGTCACCTGCTGCAGATAATAACTGAAAGTTTCTGTGGATGGCTTATCTGTTTTTCTTCTATTTTAGAAGTTGAAATATATCAGTCTATATTAATAACTCTCATGCTAGCTTTCTGCTGTAATCTCTTGAGAAAAAAGATGGGGGTTGATACCTAAGGCAGCAGTTCTTTTTCTTGGATTCCGGGCCTCCTTTCTGCACACACACTCCACACATCATCTTGCACATGATTCCAGAGGGTATAAAACCCCGCTGGAGTCCAGGTTAAGCTTCGCAGAATGAGGGCCCAGGGGAGTGCACAGAACCAGGGCAAAACCATGTCCCCTCCGAGTCCATGTGCAAGTCGTGGGATGCAGCCCAAAGCCAGTGGCGACGGCTGCCTTGAGAAACAGGCGGCAGGAGAGGAATGACCACAGGCTTTATTCTTTTTCGCCCCGACATTTCAGAGGTTCACCTCTGAGTCCTCTCCCCACCATCCACAGAAACACGTTCCTACCTGATTTCTTGAAATGCTTCCGTCCACGGGATCACTGTACTCGAAGTTATCGACCTTCTCCACGGTGTAAACTTTGTCACCCACTGAGAACTGCTTCCCCACAAAGGAGCGATCAGATATCAGGGCCTCCAAGTCTCTCATCATTTTGTTTGCACCCTCGGCCTCCACCTCCTCGTAATCGTACCTGGAAGACGTCACGCAGTTGAGATCCACGGGCTGACTTCAGATCTCCCCAACGTATATCAATCAGCACGTTTTCCATCACTTGTTTGGCTCTCTCCCAAAACCACCTAACTTCAGAAGAAGCTGGCAAAAGATGAGCCTGTCAGTCCCTGGGGATGGAGCAGGCCAGGGATGAAAGGGAGGGATTGGAGGGTTTCAGGGAAGGGTTAGGAGCTTTTCTACAGAAGAAGCTTCAAAGGCTTCGGAGAGATACTGTCTAACATGTAAGCATCACATCCTGAGGAGGCAGAATGAAAAGCAATGTTATCTCCCGGGAACTCTGTATAAAGGAGCCCATGACTCAGGCAGCTTCTCTCTCAGACGCCCGGAGCTTCTGCGGGATCAGTGCTGGCACTGTTCCCAGTCTGGGACCTGCCTGAGGCTGCTGAGAGCTTGGCTGAGGGGGTTCCAGGCTCCACAGGAACTTCCTACCGTGAGGCCAAGTTCTCACTGACCTGATGAAGGAGCCAACCCTAACTCTTCACATCTGAAATGCCTCGCTCCTTTCAGTGAGGGGTGGGTTTTAATCCAAACTGCTTTGGGTTCACCCTGACGGAGGTGACCTGGCGTGGATGCAGAAGGACCAAGAAGGCCCTGGCCGCATGCCTCAGCTGGTTGGAGCATCATCTGTTCGATTCCCAGTCAGGGCACATTTAGGGAGGCAGCTGATCGATGTTTCTCTTGCACATCGATGTCTCTCTCTCTCTCTCTCTCTCTCTCTCTCTCTCTCTCTCTCTCTCTCTCTCTCTCCCCCCTCTCTAGAATCAGTAGAATCAGTAGGCATGTCCTCAGGTAAGGATTAAGAAATAAAAAGAAAGAAATAATAAAATTAAATTTAAAAAGAAAAAGGACCAGGAAAACACACCCTCTTGAGAGTTATTTTGTGGAGGTTCAAGATAGCAGAGTCTATATTTATTTGCCATAGTGAAACAAATATGATCTGCACAAGATGACACCTCTGAGACATGAGAAATACCAGGGAGTGGAGGACAACGGATTCCGGCTCCGGGAGCCCATGAATCAAGGACAGCAGTCACCTTCATCTTGAAGTCGGCTCTTTCCCCCAGTTAAAATGATAAACAGCCAGAAATTACAACCAGGTGTTTGTGCTTTACATCTGTGACCTTTGGGTGTTCAGGGGAAATGTTCTATAAATCCTAGGCACAGAGGGGTATAATGGAAAGAATCTGGGCTCTGGAATCAGACAGCACAGACCACGAGTCCAGCCTCTGTCGGTGCTAACCGTCGACGATGGGCAAGCTGCTTCACCCCCAGGAGCTCAGGGGCCTTGCTGATAACCGTTCTGAGGTTGACAGGAAGCAATGGGTGGGAACGTGCCTAGCACTTCTGTCCCACAAACGTGGACTACGATGGAGTCTTAACTAATAATAAGTGCAGGCTCTAAGAATTTTATTTGCAACGTTTATTGCAATACTTGGTTAGCAGTTATTTGAAATTAATTAAAAAATATGTTAAAATCGTTTTAAGATGGAGATTTTTTTTTTTTTTTTAATCCTCACCCGAGGACATTTTTCCATTTTTTGTACAGATAGAGTGGGAGGGAGAGAGAGGAAGGGAGAGAGAGAGAGAGAAACATCGATGTGAAGGGACACATCGAGTGGCCGCCACCCGCACGACCAACCAGGGCCGGGGACAAACCGCAACTGAAGTACGTGCCCTTAGCGGGAACCGAACCCGGGTCTCTCCGGACCGCAGGCCGACGCTCTAACCGCTGAGCCAAACTGGCCAGGGCTTAAGATGGAGATTTTTAACTCATTCAAGAGTGACCCTCTCTCAACAACCCTTCCCAATGTTATCCCACCTTGGCTACTGTTTGCTTGTTAACTCCTTCATTTGCGTATTCAAAGCATATTTGCAGTGCCAGCTGTGAGTCAGGAGTTTGGTGATGCCACGGAGTGCCAAACAGCCGTGGTTCTGCTTTTGTGATACTCTGTGCTCTGGAGTTCATGGCGGCTGTTCTGAATTACCAGGTTTTTCTGGTTCTTAGAGAATGGAGATTCTTGCCTTGGTTCCCAGGGCTACCGTGTGGCAGTTATTACTTACAACTTCCACAGAAGAATAACTCGAAGGAGGAAGAGAACAATGAACTTGTCTAAAGTTGACAAAAGAATTCTGATGAAGGCAACCAAGTTGCTTCAGGTTGAATTCTTCTTTGACTACCCAGAGATCACAAACTATTAAACCTGGGATATGTTTGATCAGTTCTCTAGTTTAGCTCACCTATTTTTCTAGAAAAGGCAACTGAGGTCCAGAGAAATACAACTACATGTTTTTTACAGATAAACAATTTGCCTGATCCCTTTTTTCCCACATATCTCCTTTCTTTGAATTGAGGTCCAGGAGAAATTTTGTTAGATCTTTACATGTACTGGGGGAAAGGCAAATTGAAATTAATAAAAAGCACTACTAGTTTAAAAAGACGAATGCTTTTTAAAAATAGAAGTGTGCATGGTAAAGAAGAATTACTAAGTATTCTAAGTATTTTGTTCACTACTGGATCCCTAGCGCCTGGCAGAAAGTAGGTACACAGTCAATATTTGTTGAATCAATGAATGAAGTATTGATAAGTACACAGCCTTTGGGGACCTATTTTAATGAGTCAGGAAAGCTAATTTGGACTAAGCATAGTCATTTTCATAACTTCAGAAAAAAAAGTTTCCGTACTTTTAGTGCCCCAGAGTTTATAAAACACTTTCAGGTTCATATTTCATTTAATTCACTCAATGGCTGGACTGTTATTTCCATTTCTACAAATGAGAAAACTGAGCACAGAGAGCGGTTAAATAACTTCCCAATCTACTAAGGGGCAGAAATAAAATTCGAATCCATTTTTCTGAATCTAAATCCAATGCTGTTATCATGTCTACTTGACAGGTACATTTCAAAGTCTTAAAAAATGAATTCTACTTAATAATGTTAGCTAAATCTTGCAAGATTCGTTCTTGATGGATAACAGAGAGGCTGACTTCATCTTGACCCTGACTGCATTATTTAGAAAATCCCCAGCGGGTAAAGGCTGGATGAACTAGAGTCTACCAGGTAAGGCAGAAAAGACTTTGTATGTAGGAGAATTCCCCCCGCCTCCTTCCCCACCCTGCGCCTCCCCCAGCCCAGCTGTGGCTCACCTGGTGAAGAAATTCCGGCCGTACTTTTGCCAGTGATCTTTGAGAATGTCCTCCACACTCTGCTTGCGGGTAGCCAGGATGGAGAGCCAGGCAAGGACAGCCCAGAGTCCGTCTTTCTCACGAATGTGGTCAGAACCTGGTGGAGGGAGAGCAAGCAGCTGTGAGGAATGTGATTTCTCCAGGATACTTGGGAATGCACTCAACAGTAAACATGCAGATCCAGCCAACGAGGTCATAAAACTGTACTGAGGAACTTGAGTACATGGACGGAATCACATATTTTAAAAAAGCAACATAATATTGAAAAAAAGTTGATGCTTCTCCAAGTAATTAAAAATTTTAAGCAAATGCCAATAAAAATGTCAGTGGAATAATTTGGTGCAATTTGATATATCAATGATAAAGTATAAATGTGAGTGGTGGAAAAAAATAAACCTTAAATAAACAAACAGCAGAGAATAAGACCATTATAAATTTTCAATAAATAAAATAATCTGGTAGTTTAATGGAACAAAATGAAGCATCTATAAAGAGACCTAAATCTATATGAGACTTGAATCTATGAAAAAGGTTGAATCCAGGCTGTAGGGAAAAAATGCATTAGTTTTTAAATAGCATTTGGTTAACTAGCTACAGAGTTGAGGAAAAAAAACTCAGGTTTTTATCCCTATAAGACACCATAACCCCCTGCCCCCAAATCATCAGAATTCATAAAAGAAGTCAATGTAGGGTGGGAGAGTAAAGGAGGGGGTCAATCGAGAAAAAAGGGGGACATCTGTAATACTTTCAACAATAAAAAAAAAGGCAATGTATTTTCTACTTAAAAATTACCATTTCTATCAGCAAAACTACTATAGATAAAATTAAAAGGTCATTTGCAAACTTAAAAAATTAACTTGCAATATAAAGCAGATGTTTAACATACTCAGTATAGAAGAACATCTTATATTTAACAAGAAAAAACCAAAACCTCAATAGAAGAACAGGCCAAGGATATAAATATGCAATTCACTAAAAAAAAAAAAAAAAATACGGGTTTCCAATTAATAAAATAAAAAACTGGCATTGCTTTTAAGAAGATAAATTAAAGTTAAAACTATAATAAAATCTGCTACTTGCTTGACAAACGGCCACAGATTTAAAAATGAGAACACCTAGTATCAGGGGAGGGGTAAAGGAAATGGGGTTCCAACATGCTGCTGCTGGGAGGACACAGTCTTTCTGGAGAGCAATTGGGCAAAAAGTATCAAAGCCTTAAAAATGGACCCACTTGTGGATCCAGCTACTCCAATTTTAAGACATATTCCTTTAACCAAAAGGAATTTGGTTAAATGAGCTATGGCACATCTGTCTCCTGCTGAGGTCCTTACTAAAATCTTCACCCAAAATAACAAACTGACTCCTTTGAATGTACTTATATGCATGGAGACCCTTTACCAAGAGCCTGATGTGGAAGAGAACTCTCATTTTTTGCCATTAACTTCCTTATTCTAAAAAAAAAAAAAAAAAAAAAAAAAAAAAAGACAATGTTGAGTTCTACTTCCTAATTTTGAATAAAACTCCATACAATCCCTCTCTAATAGTGCTTTGCATATTATCATGCCTTGAATTATGTATGTGCCTGTTTGCCTTTCTTGATTCCCCACTGGGTCTTATTCCTCTTAGAACTGTCAGAGTATCTAGAACAATGCTAGCTAGCTAGGTAGTAGGCATGAGGTAGGTTTGTTTCCTTCCCCTTCTTCATCCTTTTAGACCCAGCTCAAGTATCCTCTCGTCTTTGAGACTAGCTCCCAGGTTCCCTAGGCAGTTATGAGCTACTTTCTCTCTCTTCTCCCACAGTGACCTGCTCAAAACATCTGGTGCAGCCCCAACCTCCTTGAGCTTCAATCATCTATATATGAGCCTTTCACGCCATCAACCATGTATTTCCTGGAGGCATCTCTCACTTATCCTTGTAACTAAGTCTGCCAATTAACATAGCACATGCTATACTGTATAAATAGCTAATTGTGAAGAAGTGCATGAATAAACTAATCAATAATTAATCTACTCTAACTTTTTCTCTCTCTTTCGGTTCATGAAAACACTACTTTTTCTGCAAAAGATTTTCTCTTCAATAAGTTACTGCTGTTTAGAAATAGCAGTTCTTAGAACCTGGATGCTGGTAAAACTAGGTATTAGGTAAAATTTTTAGTGCTTTACATAACATATTTTGGGAATGTTTGTCTAATTTTATTATCTGTGGACTTTTATTTGCCTTTACTGCTATTTCAAGAAACAAAAGGCTAGCTCTCTGACTCGTTGAGCTTTTGCAAATGTGATATGTTTTGGCAACAGTTCAGCCTAGGAAACAAGATCTGGCAGCTTCCCCATTATACTGAGAATTCATCACAGAAGCATATAGGTTGGAATTATTTGTCTGTGCACTCTTGAGGTTTTTGTCTTCTTTCTTTTTTGTTTTGTCTCAGGCTAGACTGAAAGTATGGGGCAATGTTCCTTTGTGCTCTTCCTGCTCTAAATAAAGAATTTAGCTTTCTTCTATGTGAAAATGAAAAGAAAATCTAAAAATCTTACCCAACTCTGATCAAGTTACTTGACGATAACTAAATCACACACCTAATATTATAGACAAAATATCTGCCTTGGATAACATAAACAAAAATTCTATTCCATTTGTATGATCTTCAGTCCCTTTGGAAGTTATGATTAATTTCACTAATCACTTTGGATGTACCCAAACTCTAACTGACTAATACTCAGGAAGTCTGGGGAAATTTCATTTTCTTGAGGGTTCTCATGAATTATAAATTACTAGTAGAAAAAAAAAGGCAATGATGTCTGTTTCTAAAGCTATTGTTATTTTGACAATTGTGGCGATTGTGGTTGAATGAAAGATGCTTTATATTTAAGAGTCAGAAAACCTAAATCTTGGACTCTGTTATCTAGAAGCTGTTGAAATTTGGACAAGTCACTTAATGTTTCTGAGCCTCAGTTTCTTCAACTATAAAATGGGGATAAAGCCACCTTTCTCGCACGATTGCAAGAAATGACTATGATAGTGAGTGGAAATATCTTATAAACTGTTAAGTACTATGCAAATATAAGATACCATTAGGAATAAGGGAACAAATAAAAAGCTTTTAGGGGAAGTTAAAGTTTTCTACTACCTTATTAAATTTTCAAAAATAATGTTCTTTAACTGTACATATCGGGAAAGAAAATGAAAGAATACAATCCAATATGCTCTTTTCTTTGGGTGGTGGAATTGCAATGTTTTTCTCTTCTTCCTTATCTAATTTTCCTACTATAAATGTGAATTACTGGTATGATTTTTTAAAACTTGAAAGACGGTAAGCCAAGCCCAGCTCACTGGCCGCGAGGCGAGGAGACCCTGTCAGCAAGCACCCCGGCCCCACGGACACAAAGTGGCTGCGGGTTTTGCTCGGGTCTCTTCATACTTGGTCCAGCTCAGGGTCCCACTGAGCACACGGGAATTCTGCTCTTTCAGCATCTTCAACCACCTGTCACTGTACTTCGGCCTAATCAGCACCTTGTGATAAGTATAAACTCGGCTCAGTCAGGGCACATTCTGGGTCCCAGCCAAGAAAAATGTCAACCGTTGCTGAGGGAGCCAAAAGGTTAAGGGATTAGGTTCCATTGACAAGTCTGGACATCTCAGGAGGGACCCGGCTCTGGCCCCCTCCAGGCAGCAGGCCTGTGGATGGAGACACGGCAGCTAAAAAAGCTACACAGAGTTCTATGGAAGCTCTAGCGTCTGTCTTTCTGTCTGTCTCTCTTTTTCTGCCCATCTCTCTGTCTCTCGCTCTCTCTCCTGCAGTCTCTTATATATGCTATTCTCTCTGCCTGGAAATTTCCACTCCACATATACCTGGCTAACATCTTCTGCAGTTACTTTATTATTTTTTTATCCTCACCCGAGGACATTTTTGCATTTATCTTCAGACAGAGCAGGAAGGAGAGAGGGAGGAAGAGAGAGAGAGAAACATCGATGTGAGAGAGACACATCGACTGGCTGCCACCCACTCGACCCCAACCGGGGCCGGGAACAAACTGCAACTGAGGTACGTGCCCTTAGCGGGAACCAAACCCAGGACTCTCTGGTCCATGGGCTGACGCTCTAACCATTGAGCAAAACCAGCCAGGGCTGCAATTACTTTAAAGTCCACTCAATTCAGCATGCCTTCCTTCTCGCTTTGTGCTTACCCGCATTCTATCACACCTGTCTCTTCTTACCCCGCCCAAGACTAAGAGTTGTCCCTGGCCCATGCCTGGCACACAGTCAGCTCTCAATAAGTTTTGACCAAAAGAATGGTGAGGCCCCAGCTGCCTGGCTGGGAGGTTCAGGAGACCTGCTGTGTCCACAGTCCTGTTCTCTTTGGCTTTCACTGCACAACGGACTCCACTCTGAAAGTCCAGATAAGCTCCTCAGGGAGGCTTTTCCAGATCATACCAGCCCTCACGGGGTTCTGCCAGCTGCCCCCAGACTTTCCACTTAGCAATCAATCCCACACGGCCTCGGGGCTGCCCCTGGAACTTTGTTTCCTTTGAAGAAGGGTAGGAAGTGTCTGATGAGCTGAACAGTGTCTTAACCCAAACTCCATTTCATACTCAAGAGATATAATCACTGCCTTCCATGTTCCAAGAACATGAGAGAATACCAAGATGAATAAGACACATTCCCTGTCCTCACAGATGAGCACAGACATACAGGTGAGGGAGACAGATGTGCAGGTGACACTTGCATTGAGTTAGTTATAACTAGGGTGTTAGCCTCGTTCTACTGGTATTCTCTCTGGGAACTCCAAAGATGGGAAGCGCTGTTCTTCCTGTGGGGGCTTTGCCCACAGGCCAACGCACTCAAGAGAACCGGCAGGGAACTAGCTGGAAGACCTGATCCTCCTCACCGCAGAACACTTTAGGTGCCCTGAGCACACAGCTCCCAGCGCACCCTGTACTCTGCGTCATCACTTTGCACACCTGCAATTACCTGGCCGGGATCTGGCTTCCTTCCCCAACTATGGACCCCACAGAGCCCTCCCCCAGGACAATACTGTGTCCCCAGAGTGACACCCAGCATCTGGGATTCAGTCGAAGCTCCATAAATATTTGAGGAATGAACTGATGAAAAGAAGTACAAACATGAAGGTCTCTTCATAGAAGTTAAAATTAAAAGAAATTTGCAAAGCATGAATGCGACATTTCTTCAAGTTATTACTCCTATCGGATGCATCGTCACTAGAACATTTTAAAGATGAGATGGGGGGGGAATATTGCTAACTACTACCCCTGTCCAGGTCATAATGTACGGGCATATTTCCAGGTGATATCAAGTTGCTCTTCAACGTGGCTCCCCGTCTCTCTTCCCCATTTCCCTGAGGAAGAGTTTCAAAAGCAGTGACATTCTACTCTATTCAGTGACTTCACTTTCTATCACCTTCCCAATTTTCTAATAAGTTCAAGGTGAGACAGAACTGACCACTTTGCCCTCTGCCATTGTGTATAAACATGTACATCGTCATCCACAGTTAGGGGGAAAAATAACTTTGCACCATGAGATCAGCCAAAAATAACAGGTTCGCACTGTCTAGTTCCAGTGCACGTTCTGAGTCCTTCACAGAAAAAACACCTTCGCCCCTGTGTTTGTAGTGCTGATGTCAGAGGAAGTGTCCCAGCCTCTGTGGCCACGATAACCCAGTGAGACAGTTGCTGTTTCTCCAACATAAACAGACTAATGCATAGTTGGTAACATTAGTAATACTGGGGCTTGGGCTCTAAATGCCAGTGGTTTGTTTGACTTGGTGGCCAGTGCTTCTGGAGTCTGACTCCTTCGCATCTCTTCGCAAGTAAAGTCCCCCTTTCTTTTATAAGCTCATCTCTTCTCACAAAGACTCTGGGTCCCCAACTCTGCACTGTGACTACGAGGGATGGCGAGTTCCCAGAGCTGCAGACTGCTGCAGGAGGTGAGGTGGGCTCCTTCCACGGGGGTGGGCGTACGAGCAGACGAGCACTGGTCACTTACGGTCCCAGCAACACATAAGAAATCACATCAGGTGACTCCTAGAGTCCTTTCCTTTCCAACCCCAGGATTCTGTCTGTCTAAATGGAGAGTGCCAAGGGTATAGTGGGTTCTCTGGTTCATTCACAAAGTCTTTGCTGAGCACCTACTACACGCTGGGCTCTCTAGGAGGCTCTGGGGATACGGTGGAGAATGAGACACATGGGACTCCCGTCCTCGTGGAAACTGCAGTCCAGCGGAGCCGCGGACAGCAATCAAGCAATCGTAAACAGCTGTGAAAGGACAGCTGCGATTCGTGCAGCAGAGAAGCGTGTGGGGCCACGAGGGCCAAAAATCAGGGGATGTGGCCCTCTCGGGAAGGTCAGGGAGGCTTTCCTGAGAAACTCTCTGCTCTCGCCTGGAAAAATACAGAAATAAATGGCACTCTACTCAATTGAGTGATACAATTCCAATTTCAAGGCTTGTAGAATCACGAACGTCAACCCAGCGCAACTCGGTGAGGAACGGTTCGAAACATCGCCATCAATGGACGCAGGTAGGTAGGAGTGACTCCTCGGGACGTTCGGAAACCAGAAGTTACGTTACAGCAGCCGTGCTCAGTCACAGGAGTGGGGACCCGTGCTGTCCAGTCTGGGTTCTAAAATGTTCATCTCAGAAATACTACGGAACAATTTTCTTTTGTTCAGAGAGAGAGAGAGAGTCTGTGGATTCTTTTCATGATGCATTCTCTCTTTGGATAAAAAGATATCTAGGGCAAGATAGAACTGTGGTTGACACTTAATGTTTGTTGAGTGGGTTAACAAATAAGTAAACAAGAACAAACTTTAACAAGAAATAATTTAAAGTCTAATACTTGGGTTTAAAGAAATCAATTCCACAAATGTAACATGGGAAACTTTTCTTGGCAAATGCTCCTGAGCAAAAACTGAAAGGGGGTTAATTATCTATAACATTATCCGGGCCACGCAGTACTGTAAAATGTCCTGAAAGCTAACACAAATGAAGTACAGAACCCAGTGCTGTAGAAATAATCACCCCCAGTCTGTTCCTTACCTGCAGGCCAACCTGGAGGGTCTGGGCTCAGTTCTGGACTGATTTCTACGAGGAGCACTGGAGGACTCGGAAGCACCCAGTAGCTGGTGCTGGGTGTATAAATAACGTGGGGAGAGGGCGGCCTGGAGAAGACAGAACCCGACGCTACCTCCCAGTGTTCGCAGGCCTGTCACATGAGAGAGGGGCAGCGTGTGCTGTCCTGTCTTCTGGCCTATTCCCAGCCAGTCAACACCAGGGACGCCTAGCTGCCTCTGGGGCTCTGACCCCCCATGATCAGGGATTCCCACATGGGTCTCTGGAGCTAGAAGTAACTAGATCTACCACACACACACAAAGAGATAGGCAATTAACTATGTTTAGCTAAAACTGTACCTACAGGATTTCTTACAGTAGAATGTTTTAGAATCTTCATAAGCTAATGTCACTGAGAATCGCCAAGACAGAGGTGTATCCAAATTCCTCAGTCTTCATTGAACTCAGGACTCTCTCGTGGAACCAGTATCCTTCCAAACACCCTCGAAACCTTGTTCTAGACTTTTCTCTTTCACTAGCCTCAGCACTGGAAATAGGTACATGGTACATGGGGTTAGAAAACCAAAGATTTAGACATGCTTCCTCCTTAAAGAAGAGTGACTGGCACCAAACTTGCACTGAGTAATAATACTAGGGACCACTTCATGGGAGAAGACCACCTCACAGGTCCGTTGAGTATTCACTGAGTGTCCTGTGGAGTAATGTAGCACCATCCATGTTTTATGAGGTAGGAAAGGACTAAGCAGTGCTTTGTATTCTCTGACCACAGGCCGAGAGCCTGGGGAAGTCATCCAACCCTCTTTGTGGACACTGTTCAATGCCACAAGTCATTCATCTTTCTTAGCACCTCCAATTCCATCAAGCCAATTCATTACCAAGAAGTACTGCCGCTCCCTCAAGGATATTAAATTGCTTAGAACTTTATAAATAGGTGTCACAAAATTTCCACCCTAGCCCAGGACTTGTAGGAAAAGAAAGGAAATCGGCATTCTATCCTGTTTAACCTCACGTGAACTGGAACTCAACGGCAAGACTCACAGAACGCTAGATTTTGGTCTTCTTTCCTTTGCTAAAGAATGGAAGTAGAGTGCCGACGGACCAAGAAGACTGGTCCTTTTACTTCAAAATGTTAGGTAGAGAGAATAGGAGGAGAAATATAGCCCCCGAAGGCCCTTGCAACCTAGCTGGAGACTAACACGTGGGCAAGGGCCACATGCCTAAGTGGGTGTTTGAAAAGCAAGAGAGACTGATGTAGGTAGGGTGGCGCAGTAGCGAAGGTCATAGAGGTGGGACCTCAGGTCAGTACTGGGCCAGCAAAGAGAAGAAGGGAGAGCCCAGAAAGTGGGGTGTAAGGGTGTTAGGACATCACGCAAGCACACCATGTCCCACTCTTGCATTGCACCACAGTTTACACATACATCCTCATGGTCAAGAGTGTAGTCTTAATTTCTTGATTACCTCGCAACTTAGTTCCACCCTAATGGTCTCCCTTCATTTAACCTCAATAAATCACAACTCGTTGCTATAGAAAACCTGGGCCTATTAAAGAGAATGATTTAATGCTGCGCTGAAACCTTCTCTTAAATAAAAATGAAAAACGGACTCGCTCCACCATATTTCTTCCCAGAAATGAAAACATTTATAAAGGTTTCCTTGACCACTGAGGGAAGAAAAATATGTTTATCACTCTGTTTAATCCCCACAGACTCAATGGCCAGGCTGCCGAGGAGGCCCCCAAACTTCCTGTCTCCGTGGCTGTGATCCTCCTGAAAGTAAAATTAGCCCTCCTTGGCTGGACGTGCTCGCCGCTTTTCGAATGTGTACACTTCATCAGGGTTGTTATAAATAAATTGTGTCTTGATTTAGGACACATCAGCTACCGTTGCTATTTCAGGGCGGCCTGATCAGTCTAAGCTTTCACTGCAGGTAGTGTTTACGGGAAAAGAAGGGGCGCACTTACCAGTCCCGAAGCTCTCCTCCCCACAAAGGGACAGTTTGCCTGCATCCATCAAATTCCCAAAAAACTTCCAACCAGTGGGGGTCTCATACAAAGCGATCTTTGTAGCATTAGCCACCCTTCAAAGGCATGAAATCAAAGTTACATCACAGCAGGACTGTTAGCATAGCCATGTGAGGGATGGAAAATAGCAACCATTATTGTAATCAAGGGTCCCATTTAGCATTGCTCAGAGGTATACACAATTCTAAGATTGGTGGAAAATCGTAAGAGAAAACTTGTGCACAATGGGCTATTATATGTGGACTCCGAGGAGGGGGTAGAAAGGGAAGAAGAAAGAATTAATTCAGCTCACTGACTTTAATATCTTAGAAGAAGCAACAGGAGCAAAATGTGCAAGGCTGTTTGGGGGGCTATTTAAACGCATGTGTTTTGGATACAGTCATCTATAACCATCCCATAAGGAACAAAAGAATGATGTTTCCATGCACCTGCAATCGCAAAATAATAGAATAGGGGGTCTAGGAGGTCAGTATTTTACAGAGAAGGAAACAGAATGTTACGTGATCAGCCCAAGGTCACACAGCCAGGATGCCCAGCTGGCTGCTGTTCAGCTGCCCAGCTAATGTTCCTTTCATTTCACCAGATGGCCCGCAAGGACAGTGCCCAGTGGGCTCTCCCATTTGCAGCAGTTTCATTCACACTAGCCCATGGTCCCCTGTCCCCTCCAACACAACTTTTCCCCCATACATCTTTAGAGTATTACATCTTTAGATTATTAAAACCTTCAAGTGACTTTCTTTAAGATGTCTTTCCTTTTGAACAGGGAAAGTTACCTTTCATCCACTGTTTAGTGAGGTTTGCTTTCCAGAATGCTTGCTTTATTGCCAGCACAATAGTGTCATGCTTTGATTCTAACATTTGAGGAAATTACATCTATGACTCTGAAAACTGTGAAAGTACAATAAACTTTTATCTCGGTAATGAGATATTTCCACTGTGAGCCTATATGTGGATTATCCATTTTTCCAAAAGTTGGAATTAAGCTGTTCTCGGGTGACACCGAAGGTATCTCAGGACCTGGCAGGCCTAGTGCACAGTGATGTGGCCACACAGCAGCTCACGACTTCAGACGGAGGACACAGAGGCAGAAACCCAGGCTTCCAGTTCAAGCTCTGATTTAGCTGCAGGGTCCTAGACAAGACTGCTCACTTCTCTTTTGGTCTCTTCTTAAAAATAAAGATTGCTGCCCTGGCTGGTTTGTCTCAGTGGTTAGAGCATTGGCCTGCGGTCCAGGGAGACCAGGGTTCAGTTCCCGCTAAGGGCATGTACCTTGGTTGCAGTTTGTCCCCGACCCTGACTGGGTCATGTGGGTGGCAGTCACTCGATGTGTCCCTTTCATGTCGATGTTTCTCTCTCTCTTTTTCTCTCCCTCCCACTCTATCTGAACAAAAAATGAAAAAAATGTCCTTGGGTGAGAATGAAAAATAAATAAATAAATAAAGATTTCTGTGAGGATCCATTGAGACGGTGAATGTCAAAAAGTACTGTGTAAACTACAAACCACTATATAAACATTAGTCAGTATTTTCTTATTAGCTGAAGTCAGCACTATTCTGTAACACGCGCGCACGCACACCCTCACACTAGGAAACTACTATATGGCCCAGTGGTTAGGAGCAAAGATTCCGGGTTCGAATCCTGACTCAGCCATTTACTAGCTGGGTGACCTTGGGCGAATTACTTAACTTCTTTGTCCCTTTTCTTTTCCCACCTGTAAAGTGGGGTTTACATAGCATTTTCTCCATGGGGCTGGACTGAGAATTAATGACTTAAAACATATCAAGTACTGAGTGTCTAGCACAAGGTCATGTTCAGTAAGTATTAGTTATTATTATAAGAGCCTAGATATGTACCTTCTGCTTTCCTACCTGGTCTGACTTTTCATTAATTCACTTGTTCTTTATCCACTTATTAGAAACATTTACTGGGCACCTAACATTCTCATTAACAGTCTCCCTGTCTGGTCCTCATTTGTTATTTCTTACTGATATTTTCCAGTTTATTTAGATGAGATCTTATAAGCCACTGAAAGCCTTTGTGAGTGAGGTTATGTATAGTGACTAAACAAATAAGCAAGTCAGAGATATCAACTGTTCATTGTCACTGGGTCCTTTCTCATTAAAACTGAATGGAATTTTTTCAACTATATGAGCTTCCAATTTATTTAGATTTTGGCTAAATGAACATGTACTGTGTTGGCATGTGCTCGGGTATCTGATGAGCGATGGAGAGTTCCCGTGGAACACTGGTCTGACCCCAGATGGCTCTTCCACCCACACTGTCCGCCGCGGAAGGGAAGCGGTTCTTTGGAATGGCGTCTACACTACAGTGGGAGTGCCATCCACTCACTTATTCATTCGCATTCAGTCATTCATGTTTAAACTCTGTGTGTGGGGGGTGTCCCCTATCATCTGCGTGCTAGGCACACTATTCGCATTCAGTCATTCATGTTTAAACTCTGTGTGTGGGGGGTGTCCCCTATCATCTGCGTGCTAGGCACACTATGGTCGGGCAGAGTTTAAGATGGTGAATAAGCCCGTCTCTCCCTGAAGAGGGTTATATAGTCCAGCAGGGCAGGCCGTCGGGTAATGGGCTCTCAGAACACTGTGGTATGTGCTGGGATATGCAGGGTGCTACGGGATCACAGAGATGGGACATCTCATCCAAAAAAAACCTTCACCCATTCCTTCCTAAAATAAACACTATCCAGCACACACTGCGTATCAGGTGCCCTGGCTGGAAGGGGAGGAAGAGAGCTCCAAGCTCAGGAAAGGGCCTGCTGAGGCCAAGGGGAGGAGAGACCGACCTGTCCAGGGCGCCGCTGGTGGGCATGCTGCGGGCCAGGCCGCGCACCCCGGTTTGCTGGAAGTACGGGATGCTGAAGATGTTGGCAGCAATGACGGCCACGGAGTCCGAGGGGTTCACAAAGAACCCGTGCTTGCCCAGAATCATGTTTCGATCCTTTGAGAGAGAGGGGATTCAAAGGAAGAGCTTTTAGTCAACCTGTGGAAGAAACCAAACTATCTTACACAGTGGTGGATAAAATTTTAAATTACACAACGTAAAATTGATACATGTATTCATAGTGGGTTCTGAACACTGGATTTTGTTTCTAATGGATCTGCACAGTCCCCGCTGGGCCAGGAGCTCAAACTGTTTTCAGGGAAAGTACAAGCGCCAACTCCTCAGCCGAACGCTCTGCTCGCCCCCAGGGGCCACCCACTTTAACCTCCAGACCTTTCCAAACCCTGGAACCAATCAGCTCTCTCCCGGAGGAGGACAGGAGAAAGAGGGGCGAGAATGCAAACGCTGGCTGTTTACTCAGTGTGGTAGGTCTGTCGGGCTCCTAAGTCACAGCGGCCAGTCGGCGCAGGACCCTCGAGGCGTGCTGCCACCCTCCCTGCTTCCTCGGCGCCTGCACACAGGGTGTTCTCGAGTGTGCAGGAGAGAAACTCCCATCATGCACTGCCTCAGAAGGATGCACTGCGACACAGCGCCTGCTGTGGACCCCTTCAATTTCCCCAAACTGTGACACGGGAAAATGTATTTTTTAGGAAATAGTCAAATCTAGCTGATATTAAAGGACAACAGCAACAATAAGAAAAAAAATTTTTTTTTCAATGAAGTTAAGGTATAGTGCCTACTATCTCTGAGACACCAAGGATAGAAACCTAAAACACATTTCCTCCTGGTCTGGTATATGTTCATCAATGTAAATAAAATGGCAGATATTAAAAATATCAATTATAGAGCAGGAATATAAGGTTAGTTCTCTCGTTATAGTTTTATCATTCAGCTAATGAGAGTGAACGAATGGAGATATTATATCTCCAAAATCCTTTCAGAGATTGAACAAGTAGCAACTTGTCAGTTGGGAGAAGAAACCTATCTTAGGATGGGTACCTAGGACCAACCAGCCCATGAATCAGTGCTCACTAGATCATAACTAGGCCCTAAAAATCCTGCCACTCTTAGCAAATGGGAATGTCTGAAATGAAAAATATGGGTTAATTCCAAGGACTCTTATTTGTCTTTGAGAGGGTCTCCTAACCATTTCGCCAGGACCCCAGGTGCAACGGGACAGCCTGGACTCTCGCACTAGGCCCCTGGGATCTGGCAGGTGCAGCCCCTCTCCGCTCCCGCAGTCAGGCCTGGCCCGCATCACAGTTCCCTGAAGTGCGCCGGTACCCACCCCATCTCCATCAAAGGCAGCCCCGAAATCATGCTCTCCTGTCTTCATAGTCTCCACCAGGTCGGCTGCGTAGGTGAGGTTGGGGTCAGGGTGGTGTCCTCCGAAGTCCTCCAGAGGAACGCAGTTGACCGCCGAGTTGGCAGGGGCGCCGAGCTCTTCGCAGAGGATCTTCTTCACGTACGGCCCCACAACTGGGGAAGCGAGAGAGCAAGCCTCAGAAGATAAAGCTTATTGAGTCGGGGGGCCGGGGAAGGAGGTGGAGGCGTCCTAGGGAAAACGGCATGAACAGCACGGAGGACGTGCAAACTGCTCAGGGGCTAGCGGAGACGGCCGCCTCACAAGGAGCAACGACTGGTAGGGTCGCACGGCCGATGAGTGGGGAAGGGAAGGAGCCGACCATTACGAAGGCCCCACTGCACACCTGTGCCAGGTGCTTCCTCCCAGTCCTTGCAAAGGGCCCACAAGGTGTACAGCTTAGTTTTAAGAGCTTGAGCGCCGGAATCAGAGTGCCTGGGTTCAAATCCCAGCTCTGCCAATCACCGGCTGTACCCTTCGCAGAAAGTTCTTCGATCTCTCTGGGCCTTTGTCTACCCTCTCTGCAAAATAAGGATAATCACAGCAGCTACTTAACAGGGTTAAGTGAGCTAATAAAAATGAAACACTGGACTCAGTACCGGCACATGTTATAAATGTCTGCATTCTGATTGTCACCTTCGAACTACAGATAAGGAAACGGGGGTTCTGGGGTGAAGCCGTTTGCCCAGACTCACACAGCTAGCAGGAATGGAGCTGGGAGTCAGAGCCCTTATCTTTCTACTCTATCAAACTGCCTGACAAACGGATTAAAAGAACACAAACAAAAACAGTAACAACAACATCAAACAGCAGGGAAAACTAGTCACATACTTCACGGTGACGTCTAGCAGAACTACCAAGAACCTTCATCTCTAAAACACTGAGAACGTGCTTTCCTCCAGGAAGGTCCTGACATCAATGTATGTCACAGAGGCCAGAAGGGAACAGAATGTGTGTCTCCCCCCAGGGCCTCGTGGCCGGGAGGCACTGACGCAGCACAGGAAGAGCGCTAGCAGCCGGGGCTGTGGGGGGTGTGGAAGCAGAGGCGTTGAGAAATCACTGAAAGGCCTGGAGAAAGCTTGTCCCAGCACATACTCCATCCTAAGCCCCTTTCCTGAGCCAACCCAGGCTTCTCCTCATTCCTCTTCTGGGGCATCTTAAAGATATAAGGCTTCCTGCATGTGCTACAGCCACGGCCTCAGCTGGGGATGACCATCGCCTGATTTTCCACCACCCTCCATCTTTCTTTCATTAAAGCTAAATCTGTTGCCCCTTCTTCCCAGAAACTTTCTGTAATACTCCTTGTCAAAATATGCCTTCTTCCACACTGCAAGAGAATACCTGAAATTCTATCTCACCCTCATTTTGTTGGCCGGGCAGTGTTGGATTTTTACCCACCTCGCCGCCCCAAGCGCTGCAGGCTCTGTGGAGGAAGTCACCTGCTGAGTCCCGGCCCACCCGCCAAGCACACATGTAGTAGGTACTCAATACATGTCTGTTGCATGGTTTGAAAAGACAGAACAGCTTTTGTCTGAATAAAAAAGTACACCCAGCCCAGCCGGAGTGGCTCAGTTGGTTGAGGGTCATACCATGCACTGAACGGTTGCCAGTTCGATTCCCAGTCAGGGCACATGCCTAGGTTGTGGGTTCGATCCCCAGTCAGGGTGCGTGCGGAACGCAGCCTATCAATGTTTCTCTCTCACACTGGTGTTTCTCTCTCTCTCTCTCTCTCTCTCTCTCTTTCTCTCTCTCCCTTCCTCGTTAAGCATGTCCTTGGTGAGGATAAAAAAATAAAATAAAAAGAAGTAGACACATCTGTGGGACTCCAGAGCCCAGTCAGGACCAAGGGGACGAGTTCCGGGATGGAAGACTTCAGCCCCTGAGGAGGTTTTCTGACCGTGGTTATGCAGTGTTAACAGGAGGCTCTGAACAGCATCCTCAAAGGGTTCAAGCACAGGTAGAAAGTCTTTCCCAGCCAGGCAAGCAACTGGATTCCAATACTAGGGGAAATCTGCCACTCAAAGATTCCAAAATTCTAAATTATTACAAACAAATGAACACTCTGAGTGCTCAGGAAGTCCCATACCCCTCCGTGCAAGAAACCTCATGGTCCTGGTCCACAGCAGCAGCTGCTGCCTCGCGGACCTGGCCACACCGCCCACAGGGGAAGAAGAGGGGCAGACACATCCTGTTGTTCCCGAACTTAATCCTGGGCTTGCTCCTCCTCTTCTAAGAAAAGAAGCACGTGGGGGCCGGGGGCGGGGCTGTGGGGCTCAGGACATGTTTGCCACATGTAGTAAATGACAAATCGCCCCCTTGGAAATAGAGGGGGCATTTAGGAAGAATGTGAGGTATCTTTGGAGGGGCAGGAAGAGTCCACAGACACAGCTGCACACCACACAAAGCCTGATGCTCACTGTGGAAACTGCCCTCCACGCCACCTTCCCACGGGGAGTGTCTGTTGTTTTGCTGCTTACAAGTGGATTTTTATCTGGGTGGATATTGCTGAAACAGTTGCAAAATAATTGTTTAAAAAAATGTCAGCAATGGAAAAGGACAAGAACCATATGAGTTCACTCCTACGTGGGATATCAAACAAATAAGCAAACTCACAGACACAGGCAACAGAATGGTGGCTACCAGAGGGGACGTGGGGTGTGGGGAGAATGAAGGGGGTACAGGGGTCAGATATATGGTGACCCAAGGAGACTAGACTTGGGGTGGTGGACACACAATGCAATATACAGATGATCTATTATCAAGTTGTACCGCTGAAACCTATACAATGTTATTAACTGAAGCTACCCCCATACGTTTAAATTTAAAATGAGGGAGAAAGCCAGAGAGAGTCTGAAGAAAAGGCTCCAGGCATCACGCGCACAGCAGACAGCAGCCAGTCGGAGGGGAGGGGGCGGAGGGAAGCAGCTCTGTACCTCCGTGCATGGCGTCTATGCGGATCTTCAGTCGGTTTGGGCCAGAAAGCAGTTCTTTCAGGGCACTGAAATCGAAGATGTTTCTCAGCATCGCAGCGTAAGCGTCCACCGAATCCACGATTTCCACTGTGGGAACAGGCAGTGTTGGAAGAGGGAGGGACTGCGCACATTTAGAAACGGTGTCCCCTGCAACGACGGCATCGCTGCAAACACGCCCTGGCTACGTTAGAGCTCATTGCCCAGCAGCCCCGAGATGCCAGGGCTGGCACGTGACCTTACTCCCAACAACCTTCCCGAGCGAGCGTCAGTGCTGGGAGTCCTGCTTTGCAGACCAGGGAGCGCGAGGTCGATAAGGCTAAGCCACCTGTCCACACGGCTGGGGTGGGCGCACACGGGATTTTTTGAGAGGTCTGCCTGGCGGTAAATGCCACCTTGATTCCCTGTCCATGTCCATGAGAAGTGTATCTTGGTGTCATAAATAACAGACAGTGTGACGCCTACTTCCCTTTCCTTATTCCAGGTCCACTGCCGTCAGGACTGAATGGTAAAAAGCAGGGGGAAAATTGTTTTCAATGAATCCTTTTCACATGCACTGCTAAAGGAATAAACTCAATATAAGAACTTAGTATTGTTCTTGTTGCTGGACTCTCAGGGTCTGAACATTTTCGAAACATCAAGAATTTAAGAAATTCTCTACTGGTGTTTTCTACACCCTAAGCATGTCTTCAAGAGGTAGCAGAGCGACACCTTCTTGTACGGATGCAATGGTCAGCTCTCGGTGGGTGGGTTCAAACAAAAAATGCATTTCCTACACCGCCGCCCGGAGGAGAGACCACATGTTAGAGCGAAGTCAAATGCAAGTCACACTGCCAGCCGTCTCACCCTCGTCTGATCCATATGAACACTTCCACAGACATTTGCTCCATCCGTAACTGTAATACCTTGACATTTAACAACAAATTGTTTACCACTACTGCCACCACAGGGAGCTTCAGTTTAACCCCCCAGATGGTCTAATTTGATTTTACTGAATATTAGGGCAGGGAAAAAAAACAAAAATCGAAATGCAGGCCGTGGAATCATTCACACCTGGGTTTGAGTCCTGGCTTACTGCTCACGCCCTGGGTGTCCTTGAGCCTGTCACTCAAGCTCTCTCAGCCTCTGTTTCCTCATCTGGAAAAAGTAAATACTAAGAGGCTGCCCCTGCAGGGCTTCTGACAGAATAAAATGGGGTAATAAATGGTAAGAGCCTGGCACATAATTAAAGTTCAATAAAAATTAGCTATGAATATAATACTACAGGCCTTCTAATCAAGTTCTTTTTATAGGTACGGAAACTGAGGCCCTGAGATTTGGAAATGACTTCCCCAGGGTCACACTGCTGATCACTGGCAGGGCCCAGAGAGCCAGGTCTCTAGACTCCCAGGCCCAGTTCCAGGTCTGCTAGTTACCGCGTGCAACGCGTAGTGCCCAGGGTCTGTCTGGAGCTGAGGACCCTGCCACTAGAACCCGGGGAGGCCGACTGCTCCCTCTGGAAGTGGAGCGGGCAGGGGGGCTGCGGGTCGAAGGACAGGGTAGACGTGCCTGTGAAGGGTTTGAACTTGTTTTCCAGGTCAAACTGCTGCTTTCCCAGAACTCCAAGGTCTACTTTCAGGTCAGGGCAAATTGCATATTCTTCGATTGTCTTGCTGATTTGGAAAATCTTATCAGTTACTGCTTCTGGAGCAGGACCTGGAAATCAATTAGCAAATAGTGGGTCACTTTGTGCAGCTGACATGTAAATACAAACCCCCCCACAAAACTCATGCATTGCTCTCCACTGGCACAGCTGCCATTCATCTCACCATTCAGGCAGCAAAGTACCAGGGTTTTCTGAAAGAAAATATCATGTTAAGGACTGTTGGTGCCTGGCTCCTCATAGTCAGTCACAGCAGAATGAGAAGCATTTCATTTCCACCCAAAGGAAACAAAGAACCCCCACCAGAACCAGGACCCTGGCCTCCCAAGACATTGATTATTGGTTTATCCTACTGAACATAAAACTGACCATCCTCAAAATGACAGCAAACTCACCTCCATTGGAAATATTGAATTTGATTCCAAAATCTCCATTGGGCCCTCCAGGGTTGTGGCTGGCTGTCAGGATGATCCCACCAATGGCTTTGATCTTTCTAATGATGCAGGATACAGCAGGGGTGGAGAGGATTCCATTCTGTCCGATAACCAAGCGCCCGATCTAGAAGAAATCCGGAACACACACTCTCACATCAGTAAGTCCAGAGCTCCTGCCCAGAAACACCAGTGCAACAGGCCGACGAACCAAGAGAGAGCCTATCGGACCAGGAAAGATGTTCTTGAGTGAATATTTACAGCTTGGGTGGTTATTAGTATTTTGAAGAAGAATATTATTATTGTTGATGAATAATATTATTACTGAAGCAGAATCATTACTATTGAAGAAAGCCAGTCCTTCAGATAGTTTTTTGGGGACTTGGCAGTTTTAGAATAGTGTATGATCCGGGCCGGGGGGTGGGGGGTGGGGTAAGACTCTGGCAAGAAAACATAAGAATGTGCCAAACAGTCTTTCCAGACCGGGTTCATAATTTGTATACTCTGAAAAAGTGTGAGAAAACCCACATTTTTATCCCATATCTCTCAAAGATGGTATTAGCACAGCTCCTAGCTCTTCCTTTACTAAAATGATAGTAATTTATATCTGTTTCAACGTGACCCATATTGGACAAAAAAAAAAAAAAGAGTTCTGTCAGTTTGACATACTTGGAGAAGACGTGACTTTATAAAAAGATTTATAAAGTCAGGAGTTTGTGCCCTCCCTCCATTCCCCCTTTGAGAGAAGAAAGGGACAGGGATGTTTTTAAATTTTCTATTTGTTATTTCCTTTTGCCCCACCAGAGATCAATATGGTCGAAGAAATGACTTGATAGTAGAAGATGGGTTTCTCGTGGTGAACATGCCAGCAAGATCCCCGGACTCCACTGGAAAGTTTTTCTGGGACTATCACCTTTGCCACCCTCCCAGAGGTCACTGCCTTATAATTCCCCTCCTCCAATACCACCGCCTCCCAGGAAGCAGCTGGCTCAGTTTCAACCACCTCTTGGCTCATATGTCTGTCTCTGAACAATTTTTGTTCTACTAATATTTTGGGTACATTCTGCCTCCCTCAGGAAGTGGTCACGACCAGGGCAGGAGCTGCGAATCGGCTCCTTTCGACATCAGTATCATGGTCATTCCCGGGGGGAGAGAGCTTCCTGCAGCCCACGGCCCTTTCAGTTCATCCTCACGATGGCCCCTCCCCCTGCGCAGGTGAGGGTGCTGGGGTCGAAGCTGTCAGGGTGCTGCTGCCCGTTTGCTCATGCTTACTCCCATCTGTCAGCAAGAACAACAAGTCATTACGGCAAGGTGCCGTGGTGGACACGGGGGCAGAGGACATGACAAGGTCACAGGGCCTCTAGCTGCAACGGCTGGGAAAAGCATTGAGACTCCCTGCCTCAGTACAGTGGGAACGGAAACACCTCACACTTCCAGCAGTTTCAGGTGTGGTTCTGATGAGAATAAAAGTCTGTGGTTGAGGAGTTCCATAATTTCAATAGGAGAGGCTTAGAGATGGCAACTCAATCAGCGGAGTGGCTGGTGGAGTCATCTGGAAACTGTATTTGCACATCGAGCATACTGATTCTTATTTAGGTTTTGTATGCATTCGGTGTGGAAGGGGAAACTGATCAGTGAGAATTAAGCTATGCCACCCAAATCAGCCCTTAATTCTACCATTCCTCATGGTGGTATCTGCAGTCAGTAATGGTCCAAGACTGAGGGCACTGTTGGGGGGGAGAGGGGGAGGCGTAAAAAGGGAGGTGGGGAGAGAGAAGGGGAGCTGAGCTAATAGAAGCAAGGGAAATCCCTAGTAGCTTCTTTCTCTTCGGCCCAAGAAGACGTAGAGCTGGCCAAATATCCCTTCCAGAGCAGACTCTTCCCCGTGAATCACCCTCAGGAATATGAATCCTCAACTTCATACTGGGGAGGTATTATTCTAACAGCCTCCTTCCTTCAAGAAGTCTGAAGCATTGTGACAGCTCCTGACTCTAGTTTCCCGGGCTTCTCTCCAGCCTGCATCTCCGTGCTCCACACTGGCTGAATCGATCCCACCTCCTCAGACCCACCCAGTTCATCTTTCTTTTTTCTTTTTTTTTTTTTGGTGGTACGTGCCCCTTGTGGGAACCGAACCCAGGACTCTCTGGTCCGCAGGCCGACACTCAACCACTGAGTCAAACTGGCCAGGGCTAGTTCATCTTTCTAAACTACAGTCTGTGTCCCTCCTCTACTCACAAATCTTCCCTGTGCCATATGACCCAGAAATTCTGCCTTTAGGTACAGACACAAAAGAAAGTAGACTCAAACAAATAATATATACACTGTATTCATAACAGCATTATACACAGTAGCCAAAGGTGGAAACAACCCAAGCATCCATCAACAGATAAATGGATAAACAACATGCAGTATATACAGACAATGGACTATTACTCAGTCTGAAAAAGAAATGAGACTCTGATACATGCTACAACATGGGTGAACCTTGAAAACATTATATTAAGTAAAATAAGCCAGACACAAAAGGACAGGTATTATATGATTCCACTTATACGAGATAGGCAAATTCATAGACAAAAGTAAAACAGGGGTTGCCAGGGGCTGGGGAGGGTGGGGGTGGGGGGAAAGAATGGGGAGTTATTATTTAGTGGGTGTAGAGTTTTAGATGGAATGATGAAAGAGTTCTGGGAAGGGATAATAATGATAGCTGCAGAACACTGTGACTGTAATTAATACCACTGAATTGTGCACTTAAAAACGGTTAAAATGATACATTTTGTTATATATACTTTGCCACAAAAAAATTGAAATTAAGGGGGGAAAAAAGACAAATCTTTCTCTGGCTCTCGAGTGTCTACCAACTTAGAGATACTCTCTCGGCCGGACACTGAGTCCCCCTTCCAGCACCCCTTCCCCCTGCTCCTCCCCCCTGCATCACTCACACTGCCAAGCTGGACACTCACTGTCCGCCAGATATCTTATAGGCAAACACGACAGAGAGAAAACTTACATGTTCCTTTTCATTGAAAACAGGGCCTGGTGTTTTCTTATGTTTCACAAAAAAACAAGACCCACTGTCTTTGCCTTGCTAGTCATTCATGGACACGGGTTCAAGTCTCATTTCTAAATGTAACTCTAAGTTTAAAGCTCTGGGGATCGATCGTATGAGATACCTGTATTATAAATGAGCCCCGCCCCATATTTTATTTTGTACATTAAAATTTCCTGTAACTGTATATAGCTTATTCAAACAAAAACAAAGAGAAACTTCTAACAAAGGTCAGTTGTATTCTATAATCCATAAGTACATAATATAAACGTATACTAAAGAGAAAAAAAAATGAAAGTATCTCCACTTAGCTCACTAGGCTGAAAAGTCACCCAGAGAACTGGCTCGTGGGTGGCGTGGGTATTGACAAAGGTGAGGGAGGAACCTTGACTTCTACCAAAATCTGTTGTAGAAGATTATCTTTCTCTTAGATTTCCTTCCTAGGGTCCTGCCCGCAATCAAAGGGATGCTAAAATACTTAGAATTTAGGATATGTTAGAAAAAGAAGAAATCAAACTATGTAGGATTTTAGAGTCTTTACCAGATTAAAGTGTTTTAAGTAATCCAGTTGGTCAGCATGACTGCTTTCAAGGCATCACGATTTTTCATCAAGAACGCCCTTGCAAAGACTTGAAAATACTGCCTGAGCTCTGCCACGGCTCTAACAAATAGGCAGTTACCAAATTCAGTCAATTATTATCACTTCTATGTACAATTTAGCAAAGCTTCAGACTGTGAAACTGAGAACGTCTATAGGGTCTGCCTGAGTTACACATTCCTGTCACCCCGTCCACACCCTTCAGCTCCACACAGAAATGAAATGAAGCCAAATAGATCACAGCAAAGGGGACAGCGTACCAGACACACTCAACAATCCCGATGTACGCGGAGAAATGATGTTCCATTCATTCTCTCTCAAAAGACTAAAAGCATCTTAATACTGTTCCCTTTGCAGCTCTCCTCAAAGGTGAAATTTACAGGATGTCACATTTTATCTTTAAAATGTGTACGTGTCATAATAATTTCATATTTGAGTGCTTTATCAGCAATTTTTACATGATAGGCATTCTGATTCTGAAACTAGGTATAAAAGGAAACTTCGCATTATAAGCAATGGGCTCTACAAACATGTTAAAGTTTAATTTGGTCGTGTGTGGGTTTCTTTTTTTAATTTGGCTTTTGCCATCACACCTGCTTGGCATATGATTAAAATAGACTGAAAATGAACGCCTGACACATTTGATGGCAATGCTCAATTTTATGCTCCCAGAAACAGAATCATGTCCAGAAAGGAAATACAAAAGATTTTCTAAATTTACGAGTATGAAAAGACTGTGTGCTACAAATTATTGCTAAGTGTAATCTAAAACACTGGAAGTATATTTTTTGGTTTCACAGAGGAATTTGCAGGGCAAAAACAGCAAAGTCCTGATGCCCACTTTCCTATAAATCAGTAGGACTGTGCAAATTGTTAGATTATCAAGATCAATGCTTTCTGCTGCAAGACCCCTTCTGATTTGGTTAATTCGGCCAATACAGTTTTTCACGATGCAAAGCGTCAGCAGAGCCTCCTTCTATTACAGCCTTCCAGGAGTTATTATCTCTACCCTGCTGCACAAATTCACCGCGCACAGGGCTTCTTTGTACCCAAGGTCATTACAAGCAGGTTCCCCTGGAACAGGTCCTCTTGGAAGGCTCACACCTAACATTTTCCAACCCTCTCCTGGTATTTCTGCATGGCTACCAGGACTCATAAACAACACCATGCCCTGGCTTTTGTTTTCCTGTTTGACAAGTGACTGAACTTCAACAAGGAAGCCATTGAAAGAAAACACCCCCCCCCCCTACTCATTAGAGCCTTCTTATAAGGACAGAGTGCCCTCGAAACGAGTTAGAATGTAGATAAGACAGCTTCAGGCTGGGGGGAGGGTGCGCTTCAAATGTCTGAAGAGCAGCAGGTACTGGTCCGAGCAATATGTACAGAGTACAACACATAAGAAATGGAACTTGCATCCCTACGTCCCGATGCAACACGTGATTTCAGCAGTATTTTCACAACCGCCCATCTCTGAAGTCACAATGAAACTTAACTAGATGTTAGTAGGACTGAGGTGCACAGCACAAACGCATCTTTGTACGTTGGCATATTTCTGCACAACTAAGAGGTTACCTGGAGAGCCAGAAGCGCAACAACACTTATCGGATACCAACCCCGTTGGCGGCTGCCATCTGCACTATCGTTTCTATTGCCGATTTATTAAAATACCGCCCGTCTCCACCAACCACCAGTGAGGATCCCTGGCGATCCTTTAGGTCTACGGAAAAGAATATGCTCTGGATAAAATTTTCCAGGTAGCTTGGCTTTGCCTCGAAACAATAGGTTGTCTTCCGTAGTCCACTAGTTCCTGGTTTCTGGTCGTGGTAGGGAGCTGTAGCAAACGTCAACAGAGGGAGAGGACCTTCTTCCATTCTCCTGTATTTCCCCGAGATCCATTCATCAAAATCACTCATCTTGCATTCCCGCCCCTTGGCTCACTGAGGATATCCAGAGAGGAGAGTCCCCCAAACGTTCCTCCCAGGCTGAAGCTGCAGCAGTGTCTGAATCACGAAAATAGCCGTCTTGTCTGGACCATGCTCTCCGGGGGAAGCTGGCTTCATTCCCTGTTGTCGTCGCCCCTTGTGAAAAGTTCAGGGCTCCCCACCCACCCACACCCACACACAAAGCAGATCTTCAAAGTTGTTTTGATGAGGACACTTCTGCCCACATAACCAAGCCAAATACCCTTCAATTATTTTTGCCTCCTGTCCCGTTGGGGTGGAGATAGCTCGGAAGGGCGCTGCACGGTTAGCTGACTTCAGTTACAGACACCAGATGGCTGCCAGACTCCGCTCTCCGAGCCCAGCACGACGGAGCCAGTGCAGACCCAGGAAGCAGGCTGGTGAACAGGACACCCTGGTGCAGCTCCCGCTGCTCGGGACACCCCTTCAACCAGAGTCTCTCTAGGCGGTCATCGCTGAGAAGGCCATCTGAAGCTAAAGCTGTCCCTGCCACGAGCAAGTTAAAGGTCAATCTTAAAATGGAAGTAAGGGATCTCAGTGACCTCTGGTTTTCTTACATCACCATCATTTTGATACGTAAGTGATTTTTACTTCCCACATGCAATTCCAGTTCGAAGGGGGGAAACAAATCATTTGACAGGATACATTTTATTTATTGACCACCAAGGATTTAATAAAATAGTATTCAGTTCTAGAAGAACAGACACTTACAAATACTCCATAAATGACCAACAGCCTGGTCCTTCCCGTGAACTTATGGAAGAGTGGGCAAAAAGATGCACCTAATCCTTGGAAATGTAAGCGGGGGGCGGGGAGGGGGGTGTTCAAGAGCATGAGGTTTGAGCAAGTTATTATTTGTAAAAATGCTGTGAACGTAAGATTACATTTTGTGCTTTAATCTTCTCAGTTTCAAATAGATTTGACTTTATTTTTAATATGTTCTTATTGATTTTTTTTTTTTAAGAGAAAGAAGGGGGAGAGAGATAGGAACATCAATGTGAGAGAGAAACATTGACTGGCTGCTTCCCGCATGCCCCCACTGGGGATCGAGCCTGCAACCTGGGCATGTGCCCTGACTGGGAATCCAACCGGGACCTCTCCGTCCATGGGACACCAATGCTCAATCCACTGAGCCACACTGGCCGAGCTAGACTTGACTTTTAAGAGAACATTCTTAGTGAAGCAGTTTACGTCCTTTGCATTTGAAGAACCTACAATGTTTTGAAACATACTGCCTGAATACATTTGATATCCAACCCCATTTGACCCCTGAGATTTTACTAACAATCTACTTAAGTGCCTGCATGTTTGTTTGTTTTTTTATCTGACTCAGCAGAAGTTGTCCATGAAGCTCCACCGTCAAGGCTCTGGTGGACTTGCTAAGGATGCTTAAAAAGTAAACCAGGACGAGTTGTACCACATGTTCAGAGAGTCTGACGTGCACTGAGGCATCAAGGTTTTCAAGAAAAAAGTAAATAATCTGTTGACAAATGGAATCTGAGTGTTTTCCAAATCTCCAGCAAGGTCCGAAGGCAAACCAGCACCCAGAGCAGCAGGCCTCCCCTCTGAGGCAGGAACGCCCCTGTGTCTGGGTCTGCTCTGAGCAAGACCCGCAGAACCAACAGCCCCACGAGCAGACAGCAGCTACCGGCCGGGGAGCCCGTTCCCCTTCCAGTGACAAATGAGGCTGGCCCATGTGCAGGGAAGACCTCGAGTCATAACATTTAAACAATTCACAAGACACAGCTATTTAGTTGAAAACCAGTTGGCTAAAAGACAATGACTTTTCATAGCTTATTTTTACTTCTCATTATAGTTTTTAAAACTAAAACTCCTGAGAAATTAATTTATGAAGTAAGCTTACACACCCACTGTTTTTCAACATACTACAATGCTTTTTTTTTTTTTCCTTAATTCATATTTTTTAAGTTCGGTGCCAAAGCTTCCTCTGGTTTTAGACAGGCTTGCAAATTCGGGCAGCATATGCATCTTAACATATAAGAGATCCAGATTCATGGAATATCAACCCAATAATCTTTTCATTGGGAATAACAGAGCAGCCAACCACATAATTGGTAGTTTTCTTAGTGAGGTCTGGAAATCTCAGGGCTGACCCAGGGAGACTTGGCCACCAGGGTGCGCCGCTGCCCCCGCTCCACGTGTCCGCTGCCGGTGGTCTGCGCTGCCCTCGCGACGCCCTTTGCAAAGCCAGAACGAGAGGGACGTTGTGTTGGGCTTCACCCCCTCACATTTATTTATCTTATTTATAGTTTGTGGTGAATTGATGCCATAAGAAGAGAAATTATAAAGAATCAAAGTGTAAATATGCGAATTCAAAATACATATTAAGCACAGAAATATACTCATAAGGGGTCCTTTGCAGTGTGAGATCCAACAGCGGACCTTGTTTCAAAGGATGGCAAACGCCTGCTTCGTTTCCTGGGAGACCAGCTCACATCGGACACTCGGACACCTCTGCGCATCGGCGTGTGTTCGTGTGAACTGAAATTTGTTTCTAAAATTAGTTTTTCACACAGTAACTGTTGTCAAGCTACACTTTTCTAGAACTAAGCCTACTCTTGGGCCTAGTGCCAGTTTCTAATTCTCTGAAAATGGACTGATACAGAAAGTCTTCCAAATGTAAATATGCCGATTCTTAAAGATTAAAAAATATATATTTCTAAGGCAGGTATTGCAAACTTAATAGTGCTGGTGCTATTCCAGTCTTAACTTTCCAAATACTTGATATGCCACCTTGGAGTTCATTATTTGTGTGCCTCTTTATTTCAAGATGTTTAAATGCACCTCCCCAATTGGTCATCTTCGTATTTAAAAACATACTAAACACAAGTGGCAATAGATAGCACTGAGTGTTCATTGAGAAGTCATATATGTCTACGGAGAGAGGTCACCAGGTAAAAGCAGGGTCCCCTCTTGGATGGGAATGTCTGCTGGGCACATGGACATGGCTACTTCCCTGCGCGTGAGCCAGTGAGGCCAGGCCCGGCCCGGGGAAGAGCCCATCTCTCCTGGTCCTGCACAGGTGGGTGCACACCCAGCAATCTAAGTGCCCACCAAATCTCAGACTCCAAGGAAAGAGGTCTGTACCCCCAAACCGCAACGTTTTCAGCAACGACATATGTCTGCCGTGATGTTGGTCAATATGCAAAACCAGACCAAAAACAGACACAACCCTTGCCCTAGAAAAGCTTCTATTCTAAAAATGGGCCCGAGTCATAATTTTATGGGCACTAAAGTACTCAACCCCATATAAAAATATTACCAGAAACAGCGATGTTAGATGGACTGTGAAGTGTGGTAAAAAAAAAGGACAGGCATGAAAAACATTAAGCTTCCTAGGACGCTCAGACCAAGTGGGGCAGCGATTAAGAAACTCATTTGTCTGAGCTCGCCGGCAAAGGTTGAACTTCATCTTCAGGAACGTTACTGTCGAGCATAGCGAGCCCAATTTGGCCTAATGAATTCGCCTGCCTTGCCAGTACTCCTTCACAATGACACAAATTACATGCAAACCATATGGGGGATGTAAGGATCACTCCCTTCAGACAAGGAACTTTCACACTGGTCTCGGGTCCAATCAATTTCACAACGGCAGAGTTATGAACCCCTTCGCGCCCGGCCTCGCAGACTCCGGCTCCCTTTCTGATCAGCAACGAGGCCTTCCTAGTAGAGCAGAGCAGAAACTGTAGACTTGCCAAACCTCTATCCTCCCTCCCTCCCTCCCTCCCTCCCTCCCTCCCTCCCTCCCTGCCTCTGTCCCTCCCTCCCTCCCTCCCTCCCTCCCTGCCTCTGTCCCTCCTTCCCTCCCTTCCTCCCTTCCTACCTTCCTCCCTTCCTCCCTTCCTTCCTTCCTTCCTTCCCATCAATATTTACTGGGTGGCTAACCACTGTGTCCCAGGGCTCATGCAAGGGCTGAACCCAGGGCCTAACTAGATTCACCTCTTCATACCAAGAGTTCTTCTTTAGCAAACAGGGGTGGGCACAGAGGGTGGAACCGCCAACCCTGCCTCTAGGTGCAGGCTCTGGAAAGAAAGCTACCAACTGGGCCAAAAGCAGCAGGGATCATCGGACCCGAGGCCCTGAGCTTGTGACTGGTGGCAGGTGCCTGCCCCTGACTGCTTGGGGTGCTTGACCCCAGTCACAGGTCACATGGCAGGGAAAATCATTCATTTCTCCAGTAAGTAAGTGCGTGTTAAATGCCAGCCCCAGGGTAGGCACTGCAGGACAAGGTGAAGGCCACGGGGTTAGGAGCCAGGCAGCCAGGGTTCAACCCCTTGGCCCTAAAATGTAGGACAGGCGTAATCTGAGCACGTTACTCAGCTGAACCGAGCCTACGCCACGCAGACCTCTCGAGGTCGTTCTGAATCGGGAAACGTGTGAGCACAGGCAGCACCGTGTCTGGCACGTGGCACGTTGTCAGTGACTGTGACCGCCTCACCCTCCTACTTCTCGGTCTCTTCGCCTCCAGTGTGGGAGTCAGTACTGGCTCCAGGGGGTTTTTGTGAAATGACCTCCCTGGATGTCTATGGAAGCCTCTGCGAACCACAAAAGGATGTAATAATATAAAAAAAAAAAAAATTCACATTCGGGGGAGGGGGAGCGGTGGGAATAGAATATAAGGTGGACGGACCTTGGTTCCTAAAGTTGTAGCAGAGAGGAGCCGTCGCAGCGCGGTGGCGCTGGCACTGTCCCGAGGTGGTGGACAGGGCCACGGCTCCCGAGACGGTGAGGCGGGAGGAACGGCAGGGGTAGGAATGACGGAGTCTCATGAACCACACTGGAGTTTATTTTGCAGGCACTGCAAGCTATGGAAAGTTTTCAGCAGAAGGAATATAAACTCGTGTATTTTTTGGAAAGTTGAGTGTCTCTGGTGGTGCACTGAATAGCTTGGAGTAGGAGAGACTGGAAAAAGATTGACCAAGCCTTGCAAAAAGGACCCTTCCCTCACCCAGTCCGTGCGACCCGTCCAGAGCGGCTCCTCCGCGTCCTCGGGCCAGCTGCGCCCTGTGGGTCGCCTTCTGCTCTAACAGGAAGACACTTCCAGACGTCCCTCGTCCCTCTTTCCTCTGACCCCGTCTCCACGCAGCGTCTTCACTCATTCTCTCTGTTCTCGGAAAACTGCCCCACCCCACCCTGTGGGAGTAGATCCCTGGGGCCACGGGGC